CTTTGTGCCTTCAGGCTTAATTCATTCTGTCTCCTGCAGTAATATTCACCGAGGGAAGTGGAAACTATAGTTTTTTCTTCTTCTCCTCTTATAATATCTTCTGATTCACTTCGTTGCGGGAACCAAGACAGTTACTCATGTCCCTGGGACGCGCCGGACTTCAATGTTCCGGTGTTTTCATGGTTGTATCTACTGTAGATCCTGGCTTACAGGAGTTGCAGCGGTTTTGGGAGGTTGTGGCGGGCTTGTCCCATAAAAAAAAAAGGCTCACCCTCCATCACATGGGACTCATAACAAAAATAGTGAAAAGTGAGAGTTACATTGTACAGTGGCACAAAGTGCCGTAATGTGCACCTCTGCCTTCAGGGATAAAAAGGCGTGATTTTATCTTATGTTATGTTTATCAAATTGTATGAATTATTTTAATCATGTAGGTACGCAGACTACATTACTATCTGAGAACTGTTTACTTATCTTATACATTTAATGTGTGCTATAATCATAAACGGGTGTAATTATACATACACTCGGTGTCTGTTACATGGGTACGTGTAGTAATTTGTTATTTGTAATATTATTGCGGTATCTACTAATTTGGCAATTAAGTGTAACAATTTCGTATTGCCGTTTATTTTGTTGCTTATTATTTTGTTCGTCAAATATGTCTTTAGACAGTTTTTATTTATTATAGACTGTGACTTCATCCGCTTAGAATATGAATTCTAGGACATAACTTTCTATTTTCCATAATAAAAGTAGTATATGTTACTCCTCAGTATATCAGCTACCTGCCAGTAAAAGTCCCGTCAAAATCGGTCCAGTCATTTCCGAGATTAGCCTGTACTTACACACAGACAGAAAAAAGTTTAAAAAAATGTTGTTTTGATATACTCATGTATCGTATGTATATTCATATGGGTGCATGTAGTAAAAAAACAGTTATTTCAATATAACAAACAGACCCTCCAATCTATGTGTACATACTTCTACCATTTTTTGAGATAGAGGGTAAATAAGCAGGCGGTTCACCTGTATGTGATTAAGCGCCGCCTCTGGACATTCGCAACACCTGAGGAGTTACAAATTCATTGCCAGCACTTGTTTCCAGGGCGAAGCTGCTAGAAGAAACTGGTGAAAAAATAATTAAAAAAAATAAACCAGGATTATCCAAAATTACCATGGATACCTCATATGAAACTGGGTTACAACTATCGGATGGAGATTAGTCAATGTAGTGGATCAAACAATTCAGTCACATCACACATCAACAGCCTATAATACCCACTGCTGAGCAAAGCCTCTTCTCACATGGAGAAGGTTTGAGCATTAATCACCACGCTTGCTCAATGCGGGTTGGCGATTTCAAACTTATAATTAGAAATTATCAGCCCAGGTTTCCCCACGATGTTTTCCTTCGGCGTTGGTCAGTGGTGTCTGATTATTCTTAGAAAGTCACATTGGTAGGTACTTGCCGTTGATAGGTTTCGAACCCGCACCCTCATACATGAGAAGCGGGCGTCTTAAACCTCCGAGCCACCACGACACGCAAACATTTCATTCGTAGAATGGAATAGTAGAGGACGACCATAGAAAAAATGAATAGATAATTATATTAGATAGCTACATAATATATTTGTGTCTACTATAAATATAATTCACTATGTAGTTATTTATTATGATCTCATATCAACAGATTCACAAATTAAGCCTTTCTTGATGAATAAAATAAAAATGAAATACCATATTTTTGATTACAGTGAATTATATACTTACTTTTTTTGTAATCAAGTCTTTTAGTAATTAAACTATACAAATAGAAGAATACTACACTGAAAAAAAAATTGTTAACATACATCAAAAAAATGTTTATTGCTATCAAGTCACTTGTTAATATACGAGCGCACAAAGCTTTGTGATCCCGGGAAGCAAGTCTTCTTGATAGAGAAACGGAATAAGCAGACATAGCACATTGAAACAAGTAATGGTCGACTTAATCAAGTCTGATTATTATTTTTATCAACTGCCCTTTGTGCATGTTACTAAGACTTGATAATCTTTATAAAATTCTGTGATTACTGTAACATTGTCATATATTAACTTAAATAAAGAAAATTTGTAGTCTAAACAAGTACCTTGATTGATCTGATCGAGTTTAAACTAGTATCAAACGAAAAAATAAATTGTTTTTATAACGATACCTAATTGAACCTATATAGATGCATATTCAATCTAAAATATATATTTGTATTGATCAAAGAAATATATTATTGTGTTCAGTATGTATAGTTTTCTGTTTTTATCATACCATAATACTAAAAATAAATGTTATCTTTTTCAGTGTAATAAAGTGCTCTTATTAGAATCAACTAAGGTAATGTTATATTCAAGTATTGTACTTATTTAGAGTAAGTGTACAGGGTTATTTATAAAACACCGTTAACCTCTTAAAAAGTTAACGGTGTTTTACAAATAACTCTGTATAGGATACAGTGTCCCAGAAACACTACATCATAGCGTTAGAATATGAACAGTCAGTGAAAATATACTTTCTTGGTAAGACTATAAGCTATTCGCATATTTTTTTGTTTTTCAAACAAATAGATTTTGCATGGAAAACAAAATATTTTCCACTGACTGATCATATCCTGTCGCTCTAATGTGGTATTTCTGGGAAACCTGTCCAGGGGCTATCACCAGGCACCACAATATACCTATAAGTGAATAATAAAACACATTAAATTATTATTTAAAGGAATTTATTTTAAAAAATGCCAGTCTTTTAAGTAATAATTGTTTTAAGAGTAGAACAGCTAAGCTGCTGACTCAGTAAAGGCTGTTTTGCATTTTGATTGATGCGAGTGAAGTACAGTGAATCGATAAAGCACATCAAAATAGGGGTCTGTATCCAGGGAATTTTTGCTGAAATCTGAAATTAGTGCAACTTGGACTCGCACTCGCAAATTCCTTGCATTTTCATTGTCTAATGATTTTCCCATAAACCGCAATAAGCTTGAACTTTCAAAATTATTTTGCAATAATTTGAAAAGGACCTGGAAAAAATAATAATAGGTAAATAGACTGGCCAAGTGCGATTCAGACTGGTACAAAAAAAAAAAAATTTATATTATGGGTACCCTTTAATACAAGAAATATTTTTACTATGTATTGTTGTTACAGCGGCAACAAAATTGAGAATTCTGTAAAACTGTCTACCTATTATGGTTTACAAGATACAGCCCGCTGATAGACAGACCGACAAACAACAGTGGCATAGTAATAGGGTTTTGTTGGCACCTTATGGGTACGGAACCACAAACATACTTCTAAAAATCCCAAACTTATTAAATCAAATACATAAGTAATTTCTTTGTCTACCCTTATTAGTTTTCAAAATCATAAATGTAATGAACCCTGTCAAGTGGGTAGGTACTTACGTTATCCTCAAGGTTGATTGGTGGCAATTTTCGTGGTGAAGTTTGCTGCGTTTTTTCGACTCTTAGGGGACTTGTTCCACTTGTTGGGAGGTAATCTTCAATTATAACAGGGAGGTCCTGAAATAAGTATATTAAAATTGATCAAGTGTACGGTGAATATTCGCGAAACCCTATTAAACAACGCATGAATTCTTAGCCGTACCGCCCATACGTTATACATAAGCCTATTCGCGCTTTGGATGTCGATTTTTACATTAATTTTCATTGGCACACGATCTGGCTGAATCATTCGTCAACTGAACTATTCCTTGGCCAGTTTTAGTAATATTTATGATGGGAACCACATTAAAACGAACGAAAGAACAACAAATGAATAATCTGTTTTTAACATGGGCTCATGAAGGGCTTGCGGCGCTCTCGGGCCGGGCATTCGGTCACTGTAGTTAAAGGTACACTGTAGGTACTTACAGAAAAAGAAATATTCGTCAAATCTGTTAATTGATTGCTTAAGTCCAGACTTGTACACTGGTTACTTGTTGAACCTTGATTAACATTTGAGGAATCCGTTGCCCAAGCTTTCCAACAGCGAAGGAATAGGGCTCTGGGCCCCAATTGCGGAATTATTTCTTTTATATCGTCCGTTGTCAGTGGAGACAGGGATTCTATATTAATTTCATTTTCTGTAATATTAGCATAGAGAAATAAAATGAAAATTAGCCAATTCATGTGTGAAAGAACTAGGCACAAAAAATAAACAAGTAGGTAGGTACTTACTTGCGAAAAGTGGCCCCAGCTCCGGGAGCCCCCAGGCTCTCAGTAAATCCATCACCACAGAATCTTCCATTAAGAGTTCCACGCTCATTAACACTATAGTGCACCAATTTTAAAACCATAGACACAATTAATTTTTAAAGCAATTAGCGTAAATAAGTGTAGCGTGCGGGCGAATCGAAAATAAATGCATTCAATTATGTTGGGACTTGAATGATGCGCGCCGCGCGCCAAACGTCGGTCGCTTACGAAGTTAGTTGCAAGTAGACATTTCAAACAAATAAGTAACCTTTCAATTAAAAAAGCACGCGTTCGTTCTTATAAAGTTGCAGTGATCGAATGAACTATGAAATTTATTGTAACAGTTATTTTATAATTATTGAAATAAATAGGTTTATTATTTATTTAATAAAAAATCTTTATCAGATTAACTAATTGTAATGAGTGATAACGATAAAGTAACTTCGTCCCATTGGAAGAATAAAGTATTATGATCACATGTGTCGAAATTCATATTATGTTAAATTCGTCATCCTTATAATGTAAACTATCGATTAATACTATTTTTATATATTTTTATCAATTAATTCAAAAGATACAATGCTCGAATAAAGTTTTATCCGCGCCGACTACGTAAAATAACTATGCATGATCACATACAACAATATTCTCCGCCTTGCTCCTGCGCAATTAGCTGCGCGTGCCGTGTCGCTTCATCCTAAGTAACGTTGTTCGACGAAGTAGCAGCGAGTGGTGTTTGTTACAATGAATACCCAAAATTTGATAAAATATGCTGTATATAATGGTTTGATACAATTTACACTACGTTTTATAAATTTCCCACAAAGACAGTATTTATAATCACATAAAACATTTTTTTACGAAATACCAAAGCTTACTTATTAGAACTTAAATCTGAACTAAATACTTTAATAATAACTTATATAACATAACGGTATCTAATAGCACTTGTCTTATTTTTTCCCCTATTTTTCCAGTTTCTTATAAACCTAGTACATTTTACTACGTAAAATTTTATATTTTTTTCGTCCGCAAGTACGCATAAAACATTATTCTACAAAAAAAATTATATGACATTAAAAGAAAATATATACCTAAAAAACAAACAAGAACAATTACAAACCCACCGTATCTACTAGTGCAGTGACAATTTCCTTTTGCCTTTGTGTGCGAGATTTTCCATCGAGTGTCAATCCCTGTGTCGAATGCCTCCCACTTGATATACCGACATCGTTGGGCCCGTCTCTATCCGACGTCTAACTGCAATCCTTTTTTTACGGCGCAGTCAAATGTTCGAAAGAAAATGGTTATGATTTTTGAGGGATGTTGCATGTAGTGTTTAAGCAAATTTATGTAAGTTTAAATTTACATAGATATCAGTAGACATTCTGTGAAGTAAAATATTGTCTAATAAATTTCACTTAGCTCAATTTAAATCTGACTTTTAACCAGTCCCAACAAAGTTATAAAAAACAGTATCATTCAGAAATAAACTATTTTGTCTCATAATTAATTTTATCTGACTATG